TACTAACGAACGGAATGTTTACCGAATGGTTTTCCCCAATTGGAGAACTCTCAAGAACTAGTCACTAAAAAAATAACGGGTTATTGCATCATCCATTAAACCCCTACTAACATTCAAGGACTTAATTCTACAAACTATGTGATTGATAACTGAACGGCAAGATTTTCGTAGACTCATATCTGACTTTGTTGTATGAACTTCTGATTTTTAATGGCTGTTAAATTTTCTACTTCATGAAGGTTTACAAAAAGAGGCTAACGGTAACGCACATAACCAAGAGACATTCAACTTACATTTGATGCTTTTGTTCAGATTGTTTTTCTCAACATTTTCTTTGGCCAAACGGAAGTTTCTGGTATCACTTTCGGTACCGAAAAATTGCCATGAATTTTTCTTGGAGCCCAACAAAGGATAAATACAAGATGCACCGACGCCGATATCTAAAATGCTTGCAGGTTCGGAAAATCTTTGAAGATCTAGTGTCTAGATAATTAACAAACGACCGATTACTTACTCTTCAGTAGATCCTCTAACCATAAGATATAGTTCAAACGCAGAGGAACTGTTGGTATCAAACGGTCGCCTGGGAAATCTACGTCTAAACCAAAGTCATTCATCAACAAAGCTTTGGACAAAGCAGATAAGTGAGATGGTATTCTAAAGTCAAGGACAACCCGGCCACATTCATCTTTTATGGCCACTGCATCGAAAAAGTCGAACTTTGCAGCCAATTCTTTGAAATTAGGCCTTTTCTGTTTGTAGATATTTCGTTGGTGCATATATTTATTTAAAGCCATGAGGTGACTATACACAATCTTATCTAGAGCAAGATAAACAGTAAACAATTACCGGATATCAAAAAGTAATGCTTGAGATATTACCAATCTTAATAAATTAGGTAACTGATATTGCTAAAACCCTTGGAAATATAGAAACGAAAGGTACACATAGAATATGCGTAAATTTTTGATATTTGACCAGCTGAATAATACCATATTCAAATCATTTAGAGTTTTCACCACTTAAAACCACTTCGAGCAAGAGCCACAGTGACTGCTAGTTAAGCAAGGTATTTCTACCGCACGTCCGTTATTTGGTTATTTTAAATAATATGCTGAAAAAGATACATATTCACAAACTAGTATTTCGAATTATCTTCAATTCAACTAAACCTTGGATGTCCTTGAATGGTACCCATTCAACGATTACATCTTTCTTTGCTAAACATTTATGGAACAATAACAGAATAGTCTACCACGGATAGTGACTAAATAAGTAAAAGTTAGTCGGCTTTAAGCAAAGAAAACCTGGGACGAGAACATAGGTTCAAGTTGCCCACCTCATTAGCACAGCGAGATGAAACCATCAAAGTAAATCTCAGAGTAGATATAGTAACGGTACTAGCGGTTATTGAAAACATTAGACAGATGAGAATAAAAAGGTCGAAAATTTAATGAAGATAGACAACGCTAGACAGCAGAGACTTGCGTGTAGAGAGGTTTAGAAATACAGTTCGTGAAATTAGTGTTGAATAAGCATGTAAACAATTTATACCTAGATTACGTGGCTACGGAGATAGGTAAAACACTTTGAAAAACAAGTTGATTGGCTTTTAATCATTCATTCTAGCGGAAAGTTTATAAGAAGGATTATTATAAACCTTTCAACTTCTAGAAAAATTGAGTACGCTGTAACTAGAAATGATTTAAAGGGATAAATGCTAGTGCATTAATTGCAAGATTGTTTAGGGAATATGGTTGAAGAATGACGCCTGAACGGACTCTTCTTTAGTTTCTAAGCTCTGAGTATTTCTAATTTCATCACAACTGTTTATATTCTTGTTACCACCTATTCACTTTCTCCATGTGTGGAAACTCAAGTAAATACATTTACGCCAGATCATGTTGTTTGCGCGTTTGCTTCGTAACACACAATGAACTAGTTTACGTTTAATTAAGCCACATATGTTTTTGCGTGTCTAAAGAGTAGACAATAACTTGGTACCGAAGCTTTCCAACTTCCCAAATAAGCAGTAATCATGATTACAAAGGCAATTAGATCTACTTCGTACTGCCATAGAATGACGAGATATTTCATGTAAGCGTTTAGTACTGTCAATCGCAACATGAAAGGTGTGTGTTCATCCGACAATGATACGAAGAAATACTTCCGGCGAGACTATAATTTATGGAAAACCTTTGAATGAATCCTAAGTGACCTTGAGAAATGTTAGCCAGTCAGTAAACAGTAAGCATACAGTAAAAATATGTTATACAAAACCAAATAATTATAGTGAATACACTTCTTTTATATGGTCAAAGAACTTGTCAAGGTTAGAAAAAGGTTCAAAGGTTCCAAAATCGTAATGAATAAGGCAGAGGAACTCGTCCATATGGATGGAGCCAGATATCTGGCTCCATAATAATCGGTCTCTGGAGCCATGGTCAGGTCAAAAAACCCTCTTAGCCTCGACCACATAGATTCATTATTGCTTTTGTGCACTCTGAATGTGTAGGTTTATCATTTTTATTATGGATATGTCCCTACAATACTCTAACCACTGAGCAGCCGAGGCTTCAGTAACATCTACGATTATTGCAGCCAATGTTACTGGTGCTTTTATTATACAGTTCTCGGCAATGATTGAAATATGCCTTAGTCTCAATCTGGATCGAGCGACAAAGTACCTATTCTAGCAAACGTCTTCGTTCACATATATATTACATCGAAGGACAACATGACGGTAATCTGCACAAGGTCTACGAATCATTTCATTTCCGCAATTACAAATACAACAACTTTTTAGTAGCCTCATTTCTTGTAGCCTCTTAATTGTCAAGTCTTCTCTAAAATCCTCCGTGAATCGATAGTACATGTGCATCAGGTACTAAAATTGGCGCTGTGACCTTGAAACCTCCCAAACGCTTCTGATTGGCTCATCCATAAATTATAGCCTCACGAATATATATCATGTAATTTGTTAGTCAAAGTTATGAGCATATTTTAAGAACTGAATTTTAAGAGGTCAAAACCTAATTCTAACTCAACAAAAAACCGGCCTGTTACCATATGACCGAAATCCTGCGCCGCTTTTATGTAAAATAAATTCGATGTGCGTGAGCACGCTCTCCCTGGAATTAAATTTACAGCCTCAACCATGATCGCGTCTAACTAATTCGTCTAAGTCAGCTTAGAGATGAAAACGATCAACCTCTCTACTTACTGTTCTCCAGATTTTGGCATCATCCGCAAACAATAATGTCGACGGCTTAAGTAATAGCGGTGATTTATAAACAGAGAGAAGGAAAAGTAGAGGGCCTAAGATGGTGTTTCTGGATACATCACTTCTGATCGACTACCATTCAGAAAACGTTCCATCGACCCTCACTCTCTGTCTGCGGTCACATAGGATGTTCCTTATCCATTCCTGTACAGCACCTGTTATTCCAAAACTCGACAGCTTCTGTGTAAAACCTAGGTGTTAAACCTTGTCAAACGCCTCGCTAAAATCTATGGATATCATATAGACAGACAGGCCGTTATCTAGGACTGCTATCCAATCCTCTCTCGCAATAAGTAAGTTAGTCAAGCATGAACGCTTGTTACGACACCCATGTTGCTCGGAAGTTAACAGATTATACGAATCTGTGTAACTCAGTAGCTAAGCCCGAATTATCTTTTTAAGTAACTTAACGACTATGCTGGTCAGATGACAGGCCGGTAGTTAGATACGATCCGTCTCTGACCGTCCATAAATATAGGACTAACTATAACGTCTTTCCAGTCTCTAGGTAGTTGAGCGAGTGAAAGGGACATATTGAAGAGCGTCGCGAGCGGTCTTGAAATAATGTCCTCAAGCGATGACAGTAAACACAGATGTAACCCATCGTGGCCCGGTATCTTACTAGGTTTGAACTTAGTAATCAATTGAAGAATAATTTCCTAAGTCACATGTATAGATCCTATGGATGGTATCTCGTATTTGGGACAAGCAGTTGTACCACTACACGTAGAGTAGACTTCACCAAGATAGTTTGCAAACGTATCAGCTTTTGCTAGATCAGCTTCAGCTAGTAAATCTGAATTTTCGTTTTACAGTAACGCGAGGATGCCATCCTTACATTTTGTCCGCCTTTTAACGTACGAAAACAGTCGCTTCTGACAGGTACGGCTATCGTATGCCAACTGTCGTTCGTAAGTGGTACGGGATTTAGCTATGGTCTTTTTACATATATTTCGATTTTTTATATTCGCACTTAAATGACTCCTGTCCTGTTGACAAGAATAAGTCCCAGAAGTGCTTCCTACGCTTTATCAACTTCCGGGTTTCCTAATTATTTCATGGAGGTAGTGTGATAGCTTACGTGTTGACCATGGGATAAACGGTTGTGTTACGGACTGGAATGTAGCCTTAAACGTATTCCATTCGTCTTCAATCGATCACATCCTTCACACAGCCCCTTCAACCCAAATATATAATTTTTAAACCACTAATTTTCACTTCTTACGGGGGTTTTATCACTACCGTCTACATTCTTATTGAATTTGAAGGTTGTCAGGACATCGTCAAGGGTGAGTATAAATGGTTTTGATGACTGTGATTAAGAGAAACGAAAAAAAGTGAAGCGTACAAGATTCAAATTAGGTCATCAAAGTGCACGAAATCAATAGGTGTAAAAGTATTAGAAGGAAAGTAAATTTATTCACTTGAATCTATGCAGAGAACGAAACGTATTATCCATATATATATTTGAGACATACTTCAAATGGGTGAATATATATATATATATATATATATATATATATGACGTCTGAACGTTGTAAACACAGTCGAACAACATGAGTTCACACTTAGATGATGTAGGCTGCAAAACCTTTTTCAATAAAAAAATAAAAATATGCTATAGCACTACAACAGGAACTTACTGACAAAAATCACTATATTTTGAACTTGGCTGCAAAAACATTTATTTTGTTAGAACTGGTCAATTATTTTTCAAGGTCTTTTATTTTGCAACGCAATATTATGAAGTGTCTTGGAGTTTCTCACTAACTGCATAATATTTGAATACATTTTTCCAATTACACATGCCTATACAACTCGATAACAAGTCTTCATCCAACGTCGAACGATTGGATAGATCCTTTATGAGAAACGGTGTTTATCATATCGGTGAACATCCTGAAGGGATTTCTCCTATAGAAGCTGTAAATTTGTATCGCGATAGCCTTTCGTTACATGAGAGGAAAGAAATTTTGCGCTACGAGAAAGTACGTTTTTTCTTGATTTGAAAATCGGGTTATTTAGTTCTAGTAATCTAACTCATATTATAGTATTTAATTCATGTAGAAATTTTCATTCAAAAATTTGCAGTTTGTAAATCATTCATGAATTGTTTAGAAGCGTCAACGATACTTTAATACAAAATACGAACTTAGATGAATACATATTTTATTTCATCTTTCGGCTGTGCTTTTTTCAATTTTGCACATACAAATCTAACTATATCAAAAAGCGGATTCATGCAGAAAATCATTTATAGTCTAAAAAGGGAACTCCTTTTTTCAGTCGTCAACTGCTCTCATCTAAGTAAGTATCTAGAAACGCCACCGATGTGCCCGAGTATCTTTCAACTAGATGAAGTCTTTACTTTTTAAGATATATTTTATCAGTCTGTTGATGTTACTGTTTCCTGATGAAAACTGGTTTGTTCTGTCAGTTTTGTGCACCGCATCGTAAACTGGACTATGACATCGACTTGCGAATTGATATTTAAGTTATTCTTTTATTGAGAAAAAAGTTTTGTTTTCATTAATTTTTTAAAATGAAGCCTACGAACGTAAAATCGTACTTCATTAAGTGAAGAATAAGATTGTGCGCATTGCCCAGTTGGATTTAATACTGAAATAGTTTCGACAGAGATATCTGAGATCCCAGAAAATTTAATGCCATACATTTTTGAAATTTTTCATTCATTAGTTACCGCTCGGGATGTCTACTCATCAAAAATATTTGGGTCTTGAATGTACTTTAAAACTTATTAACTGTGTTTAACTGCGTTTAGTGGTTTTCATTCTTATATTTTTACCATGACTAAAATAATCTAACTTCAAGGGGATTATGAGCGCTTAAATAAAAATCCAACTACTTAGCTCGGTCAATTACTTTACGATTTCTTATTTTTTGTAACACTTATTTTCTAATGTTCAGCGCAAAAAAACATTAGATTAGAGAAGCTTTACCTCTTCACAAAAGCTATCTGCGTCTGCCTTATTGAAGCATCTAAAGCCATTACACTGTTAGACTCGGCACGATACTTGTGTTCAGTCGTCATATACTAAATGGATCATATAGTTTATCACAAATGAAAAATGTTTCATTTTTTCACAGTGTCCACCTCTTAACACAAAGTTATGTAGCCCGGTTGAACTTAACGGTATAATGTCACTTTCTGTCTAATCTTGAAAAATGATCTTCTTTCATTAAAATCAGTACTTCATCAAACTATTATGCACAAAAATACTTCATTTAAAAAACGGAGGCGGTTCATTACTGGGCATCGTTTTACAAAAAAACTAACTAATTAGTGTAATCATATCTCATGAATTGACATAGCCTTCAAAATTCGACTTATCTTTGAGGAATATTTCTGTACTGTTCATACGTCGCACAGTCCTTTTTGTACTTAACTAGGGCTGAATAACTTTCCATTTCAAAGGTTTAATTTGGGCTGTTTCCAAATGTAGTGATTTTATACTAAAATACTATTAAAACTTAACTCCCATTATGCTCATTAAGTTATAACGTGTTGTCTGATAGTTTTCATGTGAATAGCACGAAAAATTGACATAATTCTTCATATTTTGAACTATTAACAACACACATTACTTACTCAGTAATTGAAAACTCTCCACTGGATGTATTTCTGTGTTAGTTATCTTCTTCATTTCCAGAGTGTTTCGCTAAAGCAGATCAATATGTTTCAAAGTTTAAGTTTGAGCGTGTTTTCAAAGATGGCAAAAAAGTCTCCTAATCTATTCTGATCAACAAGCTCTTATTTGATTTTGAGAAAATTATTCTTAAATCAGGGTTTTTGATGGGAAATTCATTCCAAATCGCCCAAGGCAATCATTCGACAACTGAACTATTAGCTAGTACTTTATAAGTTCATTTACATACCACAGTTCATGCAGTCTAAACAGCTGGTTAGTGATGTCAACTTTCAAGTTTTAAGTGTTACACAAAACTTTAAAAATTAATTATTGTTCATTCACGATTATCAATTATATATAAGACTTTACTCCTGATATTGAAAAATAAAAGTTCAGATACTGAAAATGAAAACTGAAAATGAATGAATTCATAAATTAATCAACTAAACTATTTTAACACGAAATTAGTTTTTACTTCGGAATATTATATTTTAGCGTAGTGTAACATGAGTAACATGATGACAAAAAGTAAACTAATACAAATAACATTGATAAGGGTAATACTTAAAATAAAGCAACTCAGATGAGTCATACATTTGAAAATTACGCTATGTATGCCTTTCTAATCAGCACCTAATTTCACACTAGGACAAAGATTGCTTAACTGTATAAATATTCACATGCATTGTGCAATTCACATACCATGTTTCTCTGCTATCGTTGTATCTTTTCTAACTAACTGAATTGAATTATGTTATTGATGCTCTAACTCACTTCGCTGGTACATCTAATATATGAAGTTATCAGTTAACTACAGAGAATCGTTTTGGAGTTAGGAGTGACCCAATGACATGGAATGCAATTTGTCTTGCTCTAAAGTTCTCAAATGAACTCTGTCACAACTCATGTCTGTTAGATTTATTGGAGTAACAGCTATTTACTGATATAATAATATAATATTTAGACGATAAACGTTAAGTTTAAGTGGTTGATAGTAGAAGTTAAAGAGTGGCAAATAGACGCTACAAGGCATTCGTAGACAACACTTACAGTACTAAAATGAATGGGAACTCGAACATAAGTTGATCATTGAATAAAATTAAGTTTTAGGAGATCATAGTAATTAAGTCTATCAAATGACATTAAGATATTTCGTTCAACATACATCAACTTCTAGAAAAACTGCGTTGAAATGCAAATAAAGCAAACAAGATAATTAAACTTTAAGTAAACAAATTAAATCTATATCATGTGACGTTTTACTTTATCTGAATATATTTTAATTGTCATGTTGACAATATTCGTTGTTTAAAAAACCATAAATGAAATTGTAACAAACAAACAATCTGAAATGATTACAAAATTCAGCAACTGTTAAGTTAAAGGTGAAAAACTACGTTTTATTAGAAAACACACAATGTAAATTGATGGTAACTAGCATACTGAGTAACATGACTTCAGCTGAGTATAGATAAAATTTTCAGATGATTAGAATTTAAAGCAAGGAATGTTTTTAAGACTTCATGTTCAAACTAAGTGGCTATTAACGGAATGATTAATAAAACTTAAATTCTTCTTTAGATGATCAATAAAAAAAGAAATGTAATGATGATAAAAACACGAAACTGCACAGTCTCATAGCAAGCTAAATCTTTCGTATTATTACATATCCATTACATAGTAAACACTGTTAAACAGAATGAGTCATAAGCTCTCACAATAGTACTATTAAAATGTGACCATTTCACTGAAAGAAAGCAATTAAATTGAAGTTATTACTGAGTAAACTGTTTTCAATAATGAAATAAAAGTTTTATGATGATATCACCTTTAACATCAGTTACAAATTTTCTTTCTAATAATGATGGGTGATTATATATTTATTAATGTAATTCTGTAGTATATATATATATATATATATATATATATATATATATATATATATATATATATAATTCAAGCAATGAGTATTTAAAGAAAAAGGTAATGCGTTCAAATGGTGGTGTAAACATCATCATTGAGATGCAAGAACATGCAACTGATGAGTATCAAGTGAGATAAAATGAACGTCTTTATTTCACTGCTAGACAATAACTAATCAAGTTTACTAAGAATTTAAATAAAATATTTAAAACAAATAATTAATTTTATTTCAATAGTTGAGACCATGAGTCAATTGAAGATAGACCACCATGGAAAACCTGGAAGCACTGGACGGCCGTTTCGTCCTATTGTGGGACTACTCAGCAGTGCGCATCCACGATCCCGCCTCGCGAGATTCGAACCCAGGACGTATCAGTCTCGCGCGCGAGGGCTTAACCACTAGACCACTGAGCTGGCCTCCGACGGTGTCAATGTCTAACTTCAACCGATTCACAAAATTGAGCTTCAATCGACTCATGATCTGAACTACTAAAATCTCCACAAAACCCATTCTGATATTAATTATTGCTACGGTTAGCAGAGATGGATAGTGGCTAGCAGTGGAATCCAGGACGCGCGTTTCGTCCTATTTGGGACTCTTCAGCTGGATGTACCTGCATCTCAGAGTTGATGTTCACTCTGGGACTCGAACCCAGTACCCTCGCTTCAAACGCCATCGCGTTATCCGCTCAGCTTCTGAGTCCTGCTAGCCACTATCCATCTCTGCTTACCATGCTTGTGAATTAAGGCTATATCGAGGCAATACGCACAGTATGCACATATGCCAATTAGAGACTAACCAGATGCAGTCCTAAACATCAATGGGAAGATTCAAACAAACAATACTAAGTTGAATTTAATTATTGCTATGTTTATTTTGATTGAAAATTATTTGTTTGGATAATTTCTGTTTATGTGTTATGTAATGAAAGATTCACTGAGATATATGGTTAATTTTGTATACAAATTACCTTTCGTGAATTCAGACGCTAGAGTTAAAATCGTTTAGTTTGTTATTATTATTATTTGAAATTTTATGATAATTCCCCATAGATTCTCTTCAGGTTCTACAATTATATATCCAAATTAATAATCCGAAAAATTGGCCAGGTTAAAGTATATAAATTTAGGAATGTGTACAGAAGAAATATCTCCAACCCCGACTTCTCCCTTGTCCAACCACAAGGCCAATTAATGAACAATCATCTTAGCTATTGTATGACCTAATTTGACTATGTACTTACGACTTTTCGTAGTCAAATGTAATTGTCTCTCTTATCTTTATTCACAAATCTTTGTATTATTATTATTATTGGTTAAATATCATTATTAATCCCCCCTAAACATGATTCATTCACATCGCATTGATCCCTCCTTATTACGTCTCACTAATTTTTCACACATTTAGTCTTCCACTTGATCGAATTGTAATTGCACTATCATATCTCTCTCACCCTATCTGACCCATATTTATATTCTGATCACAGATCTTAAATTTTCATTTTACGTATATACAGATTCAAGTTAACATTCTATATGAGTCATATCAACATTAACTATTTGATTTGACAATCCTAAATTTACATGCTTTAAACTATGTACTTTGCCTTTAACCTGGCCAATTTTTCGGATTATTAATTTGGATATATAATTGTAGAACCTGAAGAGAATTTATCGAAAAGAATATTGTTCGTTCAAATATTAGTCTTTTAATATGATTGGGATTTTTAAACG